TTATCTCTGGGCTTTCTATTCTGTTCCATTGATCTATATTTCTGTCTTTGTGCCAGTACCATACTGTCTTGATGACTGTGGCTTTGTAGTAGAGTCTGAAGTCAGGCAGATTGATTCCTCCAGTTCCATTCTTCTTTCTCAGGATTACTTTGGCTATTCGAGGTTTTTTGTATTTCCATACAAATTGTGAAATTATTTGTTCTAGTTCTGTGAAAAATACTGTTGGTAGTTTGATAGGGATTGCATTGAATCTATAGATTACTTTGGGTAGTATAGCCATTTTGACAATACTGATTCTTCCAATCCATGAACACGGTATATTTCTCCATCTGCTCGCTATTTCCTTTCGATACAAGTCACCTTGATTCTGTTTTGCCATTCCCAAAATAATCTCCAGGGTTTTCCCAACAGTCCACAAATCTAAACTTTCCTTTTTTAGTCCTTTTTTCTGATTATAGAAGTAACTTCTGATCTTCATAGAAAATCTGTTGTTGTTCAGTCCCTCAGTCATGTCTGACTCTTCATGACCCAGCACTGGACTGCAGCACTCCAGGCTTTCCTGTCCTTCACCATCTCCCGGAGCTAGCTCAAACTTATGCCCTTTAAGTCAGTGATGCCATCCAACCATCTCGTCCTCTGTCATCCCCTTCTCCTCCTGTCTTCAATCTTTCCCAGCATCAGGGTCTTTTCCAATGAGTCGGCTCTTCACATCAGGTGGCCAGAGTTTTAGCATCAGTCCTTCCAATGAATACTCAGGGTTGATTTCCTTTAGGATTGACTGGTTGGATCTCCTTGCAGTCCAAGGGACTCTCAAGACTCTTCTCCAACATCACGGTTCAAAAGCATCAGTTTTTCAGTGCTCAGCCTTCTTTATGGTCCAGCTCTCACAACCATACATGACTACTAGAAAAACCATAGCTTTGACCATATGGACCTTTGTCAGCAAAGTAATGTCTCTGCTTTTTAATATACTGTCTAGGTTTGTCATAGCTTTTCTTCCAAGTCATAGAAAATTAGAGAAACTTTAACTAGAGAATTATAATCAGGGAAAACTCTGGAGCAGAGCCTGCCCAGTTGAACTTTCTGCAGTGATGAAAATGTTCCAGCCATGGAATGTGGAATACAGTCAGCCGCTAGTCCCATGAGACAGTCAAGCACTTGACATGTGGCTGGAACAAGTGAAGACCCTACTTTGTCCGATAGTCATTTACCCACACTGTCTCCCTGCTGCTGGAGCCTGAGTGTGAGACCTTGTCCACTTGGCATTTGCCATCCATGCAGCAGGACATTTACCTTGTTTAAATAGAGAATACATTTTATTTCCTCAATTGTAGGGATGAGCATTCCTCATACATCAGTAGCTCCTGAGAGCGTTGCTGTATTTCAGCCCAGTTAAATAATGTGCATTCATGGTGGTGATTCTCAGACATCCAGAAAAAATTAAGAGTAAAATCCCACAGGCACTGGTGCAGCTCAAACAGCCATTGCCCGCAGCTGCAGTAAGAGGTGAGTCCACCACAATTTCCATCTGCATATCGGAGGAACCACTCTGGATCCTTCCGTGAAGGTGACCCATTTGTCCACACCCTGGTCCCTCCACAGCTTCCATCGGGCCCTCTGGGCCAGCCCGCCACACCCAGCCACACTGTAGGGGCACCCGTGTATAACTTCATACCGAGATACAGAAGTTGCTTGCAAAGATAATTTCAGGCTCATGGAAAAGCAAATTTAGAGGCTTATTGGTCTTGAATGTTTAGTCTTCCCTCATCTCCACCTCCACCTTTTTCTAGGAGAGAGTGTTCCTTCTGAAAGGACAGTCAGGGGCCTCCACCTGTTAGCATTTCAGTGACCCCCATGACATCTTCCTGTCTCTCTGACATCAGTATTCAGCGGCCTGTGTGGGTTTAATGGCCTCCCCACCGTCGCAAGGGAGCTGCTATGGTTCTGAAGCCATTTTTCCATCTTGCCTAGCTGCATTTCCAGGTCATGATTACTGGATAAATTACCACTGAGACAGCTGTTTTGTGCAAAGTATTAGGTTCAGGCTTCTGACAGCAAGGAAGGAAGGCAGTTGCACAGATTTTGC